ACAAAACAAAAAAGAAATAGCCAGTAGACAGATTCCTCAGCCGCTGTACCCAAGGGCTTCTGGTAAAGACACCCTGTAAAGCCTCAAACATTTCTATACACAGTCCCTGCCCACTAAGGTGTTCGTTCCACGGATAGAAGGTCTGGTAAGTCAATAACGGAGTAGACGGATAAGTCTCGGCCACCTAAGACAGGGCAGCCTCGGGTGGGGAGGCTGACCCCGTGACGGGTAAGAGTTTGAGCACCGCCCTCTAAAGAGACTCAGACCCGCCGTGAGACCCCCAAATATGGGAGTTACGTAACCTTCCCAGGGACCTTTACCACCCTCTGCTTTTAAAAACAAAAAAAAAAGGGGCAGATGTTAGGAGCCGCGGCAGAGCTGGCAAAGTCCGCCATTGCTAGGTGGCGCTGTCAGCCATAATTCTTCCTAGTAAACAAATAAAGTGCGCATGTGCCATGTAAAGCCCGCCAAGGCTAAGCCCATCCCACGGCGTTTGGCGCGCTACGAGTTTACGGCCAATCAGAGATGATTACGCCGCTCTAGGGTATATAAGGGTTTTTCCCAGGGCTGGGAGGGTCTTCTTCTACCACCATTTTGGTTTATGGGAATAAACGTGTTTCTACGGAAGGATTCTGGTGTGTATGTGTGTGTGCGTGTGTGTATGTTTTTTGCCGGCGAGACCATTACGCGCGCGCCCCGCACAATATAATTCTATCATAATAGAATTATCGGCAGGACCATGTGGTATTTGATAAGATCGTTCTATATAATGTTACATGCATGTATGTTTTCAGGGCAGGACCATGTGGTATTTGTACTAAATTCGGACTATTTAGTATCTTGTTACCATGGGTAACTAAGCTTGTGGTTTCAGGGTTTTGTGTGGTTGATGAAGACTCATTATTTCTATCCTTAGGTTACAAAAGGTCTTTGTGTCTGTAGGGTCAACTCGGCACTGAAGCTGCACAGAAGCCTTGACGATCTGTAGTGTTTCCTGTCTTGTATTATGTGCCACCTTTATCGAAGGTCCTCTAGCCAATTCTCTGTATTATTGGCTGCTCTACTGACTTTTAGCTTTGAGATGATAATATAATTGCATTTCTTCCTTGCCTTTCCTCCCTTCAAACCCTCCTCTGAACTCCTCTCCTCTGTCCTTCAAATTTATGGCTTCCTTTTTTCACTAATTGTTAAAGCAATCATATATGTATGTGTATGTGTGTATGTATACACATATTTAGTCCTATATGTAACCTGCTCATTTTATATAATGTCACATGCATGTATGTTTTCAAGGCACGACCATGTGGTATTTGATAATGATTTTTTTGTGTGTGTTCTTTCCTGGGGAAGGCCATTTCTCCTGCTCTCAGTGTTCCATAGTTGCCTGTAGTTCTTGGCATAGGGCTGAAGCCTCCTGCATACTGATTTTTATAAAAAAGGGAATCAATTAATTCAAAGCACTTGTCAGCTCTCGATGACATTAAAGAAATGATATCTTATATTTTAATCAAAATACTGCCATATATACTGATTCTTTTCAGATTAGGAGTATGGATGTTTTTTGCCTGCGTGTATGTCTGAATATCGTGTGTGTGTCTGGTGTCTAAGAAATTTAGACCAGGGAGACTGATCCTCTAGAACTGGAGGTACAGACAGCTGTAAGCTACCATGTGGATACCGGGAATTGAACCCAGATTCTCTGGAAGAGTAGCAAGTGCTCTTAACTGCTGAGCCATTTCTCCAATCCACTCCGGTTCTCATTATTCTCATTGTACATTTTTATGAATCACAGAATGGTACTCAAAACGTGTGTCTAGTATAGGAATCCCACCACATCCCCTCAGTTTTTGCCTAAAAATCTGGCTAGACTCTTCTCATCAGCTGCCTTCAATAACCCTAGCTCCTCCTGTCTTCTCCGGTGCAGTTAAAGTGAGTGTCCTAGAAGGCTGTTGGCTGGCAAGGGCTGCACTGTTCACAGTTCTGTGGAAGGTCCCTCACTCCTTCCTGGGCACCAGAAAGCCCCTGAGCTGTAGCTCCAGCCCAGTAGCTCTACACTTCCGGCTTTGAAGCCTTAGCAGTGAGGACTGTGATATAGAAAAAGAGATGCAAGGGGTTGAGTTTTCTGACAGGCAAGAAGCTTCGCCGTACTTTATTCCTTCCTTCCTCTCCACAGGTAAACATAACTGCTATTCTGTCAGCATGACTCATTAACTTCTCTTACAGAGACAGAGTAAAGGGATAGGTCTTGGGTGGGTGTGACAATGGAGATGAACTGTGTTTTAAGGTGGTAAGAACTGGTGCACTCTTTCAAACTACGTTGGCTTTCTCTGTAAGAAAAAGCGTTTCATATAGTAAACTTTTTGTGTAAATGAAATCGTGGTTGCTTTAACTATTTCCCACTGATGGATTGACTCTTCATTTACCTTGTTAGCTGGCTATTTAAATGAAAGCTCCGTTACAACTGGTTTTTTAATGTGTGCAGTGTCTGGGAGCTTCTGTTCCCAACCCTGCAGTGTTGAGAATCGGAGGAGACCTGAGAGTTTGACCCTTCTCACCAGCACACCGTCAAATGCCCAGCAACCGTTCTCTCTCACTTAGACTACTCTCTTCTGATAGGTTGAGGATCCTGGGCAGGATAAAAGATGTAAGTAAACCCCAGAGGGATACTACCAACGACATGGCACTGAAATATGTGCTCATGGCACGGGCCCTTTTGGCATACTGTTTTTAGTGAGAGAGGAAAGAAGAGGGCTGTTTTACTTAGAAAATGATGTCTTAGAGGAAATAATTGGAAGACTCTGTTGAAATAAAAATATCTTCACTCTGACCCCATGAACTGCACACTCGGGCTTCATAGGCACATCAAGTATGATGTCCATCAGACCCGGATAACCATCACTATTCAGTCTGTGCATTTTCTGCATGAGCACGTCTTATTTTGAGTTGTCACTTTTAAAGCCAAAAGCAACACTGTCATGCCACATTTGGGACAGATGGGCTCCTGGCTCCACAGGACTTGCCCCTGGAGATCCAGAGGTAACTGGTACTTGCTTTGTGATATAAGTTCCAATAAAAAGCAGGGAAACTTTACATGAGGCCGGGATGTAAACTTTTGAGTCTATGAGTGGGCTCAAAGGCTGAACTAATTTTTGCTATCTGTGTTCTTAAGTGTTCACATAAAGTCATGGCATTTTTAGAAGTAATATGTCTTATATTGTTTCCAAGTGCTGTACAGTTAGAAAGAGTTGATGCCCAGAATATAGTAGGCACTGGACAGGTAGCTGGTAAAAACACTCAACTGTTTGGAAAATATACCAAATTCTTACTTTTTGTCAACTATCGGCGCCATTTTCTTTCTTTATTCTGTCTGTCTGTCTCTCTCTCTCTCTCTCTCTCTCCCTCTGTATGTGTGTGTGTGTGTGTGTATGAGAGAGCGTGTGTGTTGGTTTGTGCATCTATCATGTGTGCATGTGTACATATGTGGAAGGAAGCCAGAGCCTGATGTTGCTGACTTCCGTTGCTCTCCACCATATGAGACAGGATATTTCACTGAGCCCAGAGCTCACTGGTTTGGCTACACTGATTGGCCTTTGAGCTCACAGGTTCTTTCTGTCTCTGCCTTTACAGTGCTGGGGTTACAGGTACAGGACAGCGTGCCTGGCTTCTCCTGTGGATGCTGGAGATCTGAACCAGGTTGATCCTCAAGGAATGTGATGAGCTCTTTACCCAACAAGCCACCATGACCCTCTGTTCTTTCATCTTCATATAGGGCTGAAGACAGGATCAACAAAATCGTTTTCTAAATGATCAAAATAGCTTCTCAACACATGCAGTTGTGGGTGGCTTCCTATCGGTGGGGAAGAACCCCATACATGTGCACAGAGCTTTACACACTTGTCACACCCCCGGCAAGAGTGCTGACTTCCTTCCTTATTTGACTCCCCACTAGCCTTGCTCGTGACCAGGAAGCTACATTTCCATGGTGTCCCGTGTTGTATCACAGGCCAGGAATTGCCACTTTTAATTGTATTAAGGGAAAGCTCTCATACTTCGGACCCTGAGCATACTCAGATGCTGACAATCACACCAGGATGAGAAAACAGGCAGAGGAGCCCAAGCAGAAAAGGAACCAAGTGGCTCCTGGTCCAATCACACTGGAGTCTTGGCTCCTGAGAACTGGAGGTTAGATCTGTTTTATTACCTGTACTTGGTACCTCCCTTGGTATATATGAAGTTCTCACTATCTCGTATGTTAGTTAAATAACAGGCTTGTGTTTATCTGTATTTCCATACAGGCTACTGTAGACCTTGTAATGATACACAGCAATCAAGGGAAGGGAATAAAGTGATCCCCAAGTGGAAAATGATCCAAACCACTTAAGTAACAGAAGCAAGTACATGTGCCCACCCATTGTGGGGCTCTGATCGTATGAAACATGCTGAAAAGACAAAACTGTATTTTAAAAGCTCACATTGGGCTAAGCGTTGGAGGTGGGCATAGGGACTTATGTCAACTACATGTGAAGGAGTTTTTAGAGGTAATGGTAGCATTCCAAAACTCAGTTATGGCAGTGTGAGCACAAATTTACTATATGTCCTTGAACAGTATGCTTCATGTGATGAATAAAACATCAATAAAACGGCTAAGCATTTTTTTAAAAGAAGCATGTTCTAACAATCATGATTTTACCTAGCTAGAACATTTATTGTTTGGCTTTTGTTTTGTTTATCATTCTGCCTTTTTTTCTTTTCTTCCATTGGATTATTATTTTTCTAATTATATTTTCTACTCCTTCGAACTGAGAGCTGATACATTCTCTGCTGGAGTTCTCAAATGGTTACTCACAATATTTCCCTGTGAATGCTTACAAGTCAACATCTGGAATTAAGAGCCTGTTTTCTGGAAAACACCAGGAATTCAGAAGACATTCAGCACGGTTGCTAGTATGACATCTGTATGCTTTGTAGTTAATATTTTTCATTACTCACACATTTACAACTTTCTTCTTTTCATTTTTATTGTGTCTTCAACTTGTCAAAATTTCTCAAAATATTTTTTTTGTGCCAACAGACTATCTAAGGAGTGAAACCAACCGTGAGTCTTAACCACACTGCTTCCGTGTCCCAGCTCAAGCTGTCTTATCTCTGCAGTAGAGAGGCTGAAACAGAAGGATTCTTGGCTACATACTCAGGGCTATGTGTGGAAAGAAAAAGAGGCACCCACCACTCCCTCAAACCAGCCATTGCAGAGAGGAGGGGTCGGCAGTGCCCACCCTTTCTGGATAAGTGGCGGGCAGACCAGGCTTGGTCCATCTGCTGCCAGATGCATGCAAATTCCACTTCCTCTACATCTGTGAAGTCCCCAGAGTTAATAAATAATTCCTCAGAAAAGATTACAAGCAGACAATAGGTGACTTAGACTTTGCCCCTGTGAATACTCATCAGATCCTGTGTTGTTTGTTTCTTTGATAATAACTTGAAGGTTGTAGGACTGGTTCTACCAAACTTATCGGACAAGACTCCTTCCAGATACATTCATCTGTTTCTGGACCCTCTATCTTACTGTGCTCATTTCTGGGCAGATGGATCGGTAAAGCAAACCATTATTATCTCATCCAGTGCAACATTGTTTAGATATTGGTAAGCCTGGGCAACGTTGTTTGATGGAATGTGAACATGCTGGATAGTTTTGAAGCCTCTTCTTGGACAGAGGGTTCTTTGAGAAGTCTGGTTAGCATGGCACAGTCTTCTAGGTCTTCTAGCTTTTCTACTACCTTTATAAGGCTTTCCACCGTGTCCCTGCATAGCATCTTTGAGGCATTGGCACGGAACTTCTTGTGCAGATCCTCCTGACTCAGAGGTTTCCTCCAGTGACCATAGAAGGTGTCAGAGCGCTCGGTGAAAGTGGTTCCGTCCTTCAGAGTGATGCTTATTTCACAGTAGAGAGTGTCGAAGCTTGGCATGTTGTCAGGAGGATGTTCCAGCTCCACCTTCTTGAGCAACTCTTTCACCTGCGGCCTATTGACCTGCTGGTTGTAGAAGGATGGGACAGTGACGTTACCGTCAAGCAGCATGGCACAGGCCACATACTGGAAGGAATGCCGGGCTTCATGCTCTGAGTCTGGGAAGGGTCTGTTTACGTATTGGACATCAGGGATCCTGAGCACGATTCTCTCAATGTGGTTAGCAGGAAGCTGGGCTGTTTCTGTAGTCACAAGGTGCTTTCTCACCGCTGAAGCTGCATCTGCCACCCAGTGGGTAGCCAGATGTGCCGGGAAGCTCTTAAAGGCCACATCCTGCTGGTCCAGCAGCCAGATGTGGGAATCCAGGCTTGGAAGGACTTTGGGGGAGTAGTTGGCATAGAAGGCACCAAACCCTGACCCCAGGTCCAAGATCTGTTTGTTTCCTTGGAGGCCCAGCATCGCCAGAAACGTGGCTTCCATTCCATGCTTGGCCGCGTTGCCAATATGGAGGGGCTTGGTCTGAGTGGCAGCGTTTGCTATGGGTGCCCCGGCGTGGGAAACAGCAATGGCCAAGGCCTCACGGCACTTTGTCAAGCTGAGACCCAGAAACTTGGATGCAGCAGCCGCGCTTCCCAGAGTCCCCACCACAGAGGGAGGATGGAACCTGGAAGACAAAAGCAAGAAATTCAACGGATGGGTAGATGGATTTTAAAAAAATGTCGTACATGTAGATGATGGGATATTACTCAGGTATGAAGAAAAAGATCGTTAATTTGCGGGTGATGGGTAGAAGTGGAGAAAATTATATTGCACGAGGACACCCATACCCAGGAAGACAAACACCACATATTTTCTTTCATATGTGGATACTAGCTTTGAATCTCTTGGTTAGATAGCTTAACTTTGAGTGTATATGGACGCCAGGACACTAGAAATAGGCCACTGGATATGGTTACCTTAAGGAAGAGAGGGTAGTAAAATACAGGTAAAACAAAAGTAGAGAAGGAAACATTGGGGTTGGAAAGTTTCCGATATGGAAGACCCGGGGAATGGGGGAAATAAGACGATCGTTGAAGAGGTGATCAAAAAGAAGATCATGTGGAAAAGCTGTACGGAAACCGCCAGTCTTCCAGCCCAAGGAGAACAGCCAAAGAGAGGACAGTGGAACCCAAGGGATGAGAGAAGTGGGGGAAACACCCAGAGTCAAGTGGGGAAATGCAGGCTGGGGCTGCCTTAGCCAAAACTCAGGATACAGGAAGACCTTATGAACATCCATTACTTTGTAAGGTAATTAGAATGTATAATATCTTATAAATAAAGGGAGTTTAAAAAAAAGTACTCAGCATGGGCAGACAATGCTTCCAGTAGACATGAGTGATTAAGTGAGGATCTCAGCGTCAGGCAAGGGATACCTCCCTATGAGTTATTGGTCAGAGAGGCCATGAAGGGTCCCAAAACAATTCAAGTTATTGCTAATGCTCTTAGTTACCCATCATAACCACATTGCAAGACCCTGTAGCTGAAGACATCATTCACTTTGGATGCAGGATACAGAGATATCAACCTCACAGTGACCAGGAAATCCATTCCCTCCCCCCCCCTCCAGATAGCTAGTCCCAGAAGGTGCTATGTGCATTGCTGGTGGAAAGAGACATCATTGGTTTTAGCCAGCACAGGACATTGCATGCTGCAACACTAAGTGACCTGTTGGCAAGATTTGTCCATTTGGTGCAATACATAAAAATTATGGGAGTAACCAACTGCTCCACAGGTTTTATATCTGGAGCTGTAAGCCTGGTCAAAGCCCAGGATTGGGGAGAACCCACAATTGGGGAGAACCCACAATTGGGGAGATCATAGGCCCTGGGGAAGGTCAGTGGTTTGGAATCTCCTACAGTTGTTTTGCTAAATGATCACACCACTGAACTGCATTCTAAGTATTTGTGTTCATATCTCTACATTTGTGCTGCTACCAGAGAAGCTTCTCTTTGAAGGAGGCGGCGGTTAATGTGGAGACTTGCAACCGGTCAGTGTGATGATTACAAGTAGTTCTGAGTGCTCGGCTGTTGATGGGTTACCCATCTTCACCAGCTTCCCACTGTCCAAGCTCAGAGAACTTCGAAGAAGATGGTAGGGGGAGAATATAAGAGATGGCAGATGGGAGGAAAGTCATGGAATGTTGCCTTGTAAGCATGACACGTCTGATGCACACACCAGCCCACAGTAGCTGAGTTCCTCTCACAAGGCCCCACCCCTACTGAAGACATGTTGCGGTGAATAAGTGCTGAGGGGGAAATCACTCTCCTCTAAGGCTGTGTCTGCTGGTAGATGGCTCATGCCCCAGTGGATGATCACACATCCATGTGCATATGAGTAGCACCAATTAGACTCAGGGTTACTAATAAAAAATAAAGATAAGATATTCAGCTGAGAGGAAGATGAAGTGGGGACGTAATTAAGTGGGAGAATTGGACAGAGGGTGTGATCAACACAACGAATACATGGTGAAACTTTCAGAGGATAAAAATCCAATTTAAAAAATTATGAGGGATGGTCCAACATTTAAGAGAATGTACTGCTCTTGTAGAGGACCCGAATTTGGTTCCAAGACGTACAACCTGTAACTCCAGCTTGAGGGAAATCCAGTGATACCCAGAGTATTCCTGCATGCAAGAGATAGGAGTCGCCTTGGAGTGACAGACCTGCAAGTTACCTCATGGTCTTTGTAGCTGGATTGGTTTTACAATCTCAAGGGAAGTTTTCGAGATCATTTCCAAATCATATCTCTCTATAGAGTCATGGGGCTTGTTATGCGGCTGAAAACGGTGTATCTTTCAGCTGTAAAGGTAACAGTTTCAGAGCTAGTCTCTAAGACAGACAGCTCTACACAGACAGCTGCTGACAGGCAGGGGGCAGTGTGGCCCACAGCTCTACACAGACGGCTGCTGACAGGCAGGGGGCAGTGTGGCCCACAGCTCTACACAGACAGCTGCTGACAGGCAGGGGGCAGTGTGGCGCTCCTTGATGGGCACAGGCACTCTGTACCTCTTTGGTATGTCCTTGGCTTCCTTAGAGAAGTGCATTAATCGTCCTTGTACTTCAATACCAACGTTGAACGCCAGCAGCAGGTCGAGGCCAGAAAACTTTGGAGTCTGAGGCAGGGCTTCCGATAAAGCTGTGAGGACAGGTAGGACAGCCCCAGAAGGATGGGTGGCAGGGTGCCATGTGTCATCAAAATCCATGGAGTGAACCTGCATGAATAGATACAATCAAACCCCCCCAGAAATACCCTTAAATGTGCTGGCTTTTGGACTGGCTTTTAATTTAGCAATCATCTTGAGAATTTGGGGGAACCTCATTCTCTGAAATTATACCTTAAACATTGACTATTTTAAATTTTTTATTCAAATATTTCAAGTATTTATTTTAATTTTATTAAAAAAATTCATAGAATATATTTTGATCATAGTTCACCTCCCCACCCACTCCCAGAGCCTCCCTACTTCTCAACCTATCCAATTTCATTCTTCTCCCTCCCTACCTCCCTCCCCCCCTCCCTCCCTCCCTCCCTCCCTCCCTCCCTCCCTCCCTCCAGAAAACAAATTGACAAACACAAAAATCAAACAAACTAGAATTTAAAAAGTAAGAAAGAAAAAAAAAACCAAGGTATACAAATTGATATTGTTTGTAAATGAAAAATTGGTTTGTATATTAGCCACACTTAAGGGTAAGCCCCGTGCCCAGCAGTAACTGGTTGAGTTTCTTAACCTCATGGTGGGACAACAGTTGTCCCTGCTTCTCTGTCAAAGAAGAGCAGGACCTTGGAGAGTAGCTAGTGATTTTCTGGAGGATGCTGAGTCCAACCTTGGAGACCAGAGCTCGTGGGAAGATCTATGCACTCCCTCACAAGTCTGCCCTTCCTTCTTCCTTTATCTTTAACCAGGACATATCAAAAATTTAATATTGTTTATTATATTTTGGGCCGTATATTTTTTGTGTATCAGTCATGAAGTGATTTAAAGGTTTTATCAAAGCTGCAAGAACAGCAAAGAGCTCTGGAGCCTACATTAACGATTAAGTTGTATTTTTAAATGATTATTTTATGGTCTAAGGTTTGGTCCTTTTTTTTATCTAAGCCTTTTAATTTTTTCATATGTGAGACAGTAATAATCAGAAAGTTGTTTAAATATAGATTTTTATGTCTATCTGATGTGGCTGGTGTGTTTTTTTATGCCTGAAGGAAAATTAGAACTTTTCATCTGATAGATAATTTTCAAGCTGTTTCCTGTGTATCAGGGTTTTCCTGTGTATGAAGAGTTTTCCTCCGTGAGACGAACCCTGCCTGATATAATTGAGTTTCCTTTCTACAAAGCGATGCATACTGTGGCTTTACTTCCATTAGTCTGAGTTGCTGTCCCCACAGAGTGAGATGCTGTCCCCACAAAGAAGTTAAAATAACTCTTGAATCCCAATATATTCTCTCTCTCTCTCTCTCTCTCTCTCTCTCTCTCTCTCTCTCTCATACACACACACACACACACACACTGTCTTGTAGGCATTCCCTGATACACAGGAAACAACATAAAAATTATCTATCAGATGAAAAGTAATTTTTCAGTGAGAAAATAGAAACAGTATGTGGCCATTCTTTCTTTCTGAATAAATACCTGGTGATTGATACTGTACAGATACTGGGAGTCCCAACAAAAGGAATCAAGAAGGCATTATGTTTGGATATCAAATTATATACACATCACACTCTTTTGGGGCTATGTCCATTCAAGGTCCAGAATTATAATACTTTATGAGTGTTTTTTATATCCTCCATTTCTTCTACTGTATCATTTGTGGGGAAAGTACCACTTTATTGTAGAGGCAGGAAAACGAGGAGGAAAGACAGACCACCTCAGATTTCTGAACCTCAGCGATCTCTCTCCTGCCTCTGGAGCTATAAAGATTTAATTAAAGAAAAGACTGACAGACTTTCTTACAGCAACGCCGTTGACAAAAGCAGCATATGTCGGTGGGAGCCTGAAGTCTGGTCGACCCCAAACGGTGCTGGAGGTGTTGGAACTGTAGATCTGGAACAGAAGAACCAGTTAATGCAAGAATATACTGAGTTGGCACTCCGAGAGTTACTCTTCATCTTGGAGGCACCAAGTCAGGCCTCACCGGACCCTTGTGAGGGCAGCCCAGCTAGTGGGACCTCTCTCTTCCTTGCAGAGGAATAAACAACATTAACCTTGTAAGGGGAGAGGACATAGATCTGCTTATCCCCGAGTCATGATCTAGAACTCCATGCAAGCAAGTCTGAACCCGCTCTCATTTGACCTTGGGGTAAATATTGCGGGTGGGAGACGGGATGACACACACCAGGGACGTGCTATCGAGAGTACCAGCCGTGTCTCCTGTGGATATGCCCACTTTCTACTCAGAGCGCTTAGACTTTTCTCCAGGGGATAGTTGCATGAAGAAGCTGTCTGTGGTAATTTCAGAAGTGGAAATGTTCACTTCTAATTTTCGGGTTGAAATGTACTTTTAGTCATAGAAATAAATAGCTGTGAGGTATTGCCGAAGAATGGCATTACGCCTGACTTAATAGTGGATAGGAATGGACTTTAAAAATGAGAGTGTAAGAAAGGGGGACTGATACAAATGTATGGGACAATGCTATACACGTCAGATGCAGTCAAGCTAAGTGGAGCGAGTTGAAAAGAGGTACAGACTTCAGGAGTACATCTGCGCATGCGTGTTTGTTTTATCTTGAAAGTAAACTTTGGACTTCTTACTTTACTATATTGGGTGACTTTATGGAACACTTCTGTGTCTGTTCCCAGGAAACCAACGCCCAGAGAATCCAGGATCATCCTCTTGCTCCTCTGAATGATACCTTCTGTCAGGTGGTTCACTTTCAAGCCGTGAATCATACTGGCTAAGCTCTCTGTGACAGACTTCAAAGAGAAAAAGGTTAGAGCATCGTGCCCACTCTGTATCCACTCACTTATTTTGAGACTTCCTGGTAAAGAGATTTCCTCCATGAGACGAAACCTGCCTGATATAATTGAGTTTCCTTTCTACAAAGCGATATATGCTAGGCACCTACTACGATAGGTGTGAGGAGATGGAAATACGCAGTATTTGCCCAGTCACACTGATAACGCGGTCTTCTTGGCAGATGATGTCAGCAAAACTTGATAGGAGCCTAGACAGAAGGCAAGATAGAGGGACAACTGTCCACGACGTGGGGACATCTGGATGGGAGGTGTGTTTGGATGGCTGAGCACTGCCCTTACTTGATTTGCGTCAGGTACGGTAATGAATGTCCCTCCCACGTACATTGTGCGTTGTCACCCTTTGGGATGTGGAAATATGCAGGCTGGTGAGCGCATGACAACAGAGGTGATGGAGAACAGTGAAGGGAAGCCTAGACCGAGGTGGGAGGAGGAAGGAAGGACATTGTGGTTTGCGACCAATGCATGCAGAAAGTGATGAAACCAGATACAAGCCCTCAGGGCAGGAGGATTAGCATCTCCAGCCATTATCAGAGGACTTAGCAATTCCTTTAATTATCAAGCTCTTCCATGCACAGGTAATAATTTTGATTCTATGTCCCTTTGAAGGAAAATATAATTTAAAAATAGCCAGCTGGGAGGGACTCTCGAATGCCTAGCGTGGTGGTTTTTAGTGAACTATTTAGTAATTTTCCTTTGTACCTCTGATAATCACATTATTGCTTAACTTCCTTTTCACCTCTGACTGGAACATTGCTCATTTACAAATAATAGCAAGAACACTTAACAGATTGGAGAATATGATGGGTCTAAGGTCTCTCACTCTGGAGTCACTGTCAAAGTAGAGACGCAAAATGGAACCGGCACCTACAATAAAATCTTCCACCATCGCTACCCACCAGCCTTTTTTCTCTTCTTTTCTTTTTTCTTTCTGAGGCAGGGATTTTCTATATGGCCCTTGCTGTGCTGGGCTCACTATCTAGTTCAGGCTGGCCTTGAACATGTGACAATTCTATCTCAGCTGTAATCTCATTCTTAGAGTCTTCAGATTTATAGGTCAGATGGCAACTGTCGTTTTCAAAAGAATAGAACATTTCCTAAAGTTTTTAAAGCTTTGACAGAAAAACCAAGAGTACTGGAGTAGGAGAAAGCAGAAGAGGAGACGGCCAGGAGAGCAAAAGGATACTGCAATGGATTTTCTGGATAGAGCCAAGGAAGACAATAATACTGCTTTTCTTTTCTTTTCTTTTCTTTTCTTTTCTTTTCTTTTCTTTTCCTTTCTTTTCTTTTCTTTTCTTTTCTTTTCTTTTCTTTTCTTCTCTTTCCTTTTCTTTCTTTTTTTTGTTGTTGTTTTTTTGTTTTTCTTTTGTTTTGTTTTGAGAATGCAAGAACTTTATTCAAAGTGCAATGAAACTTATTAAGAGCTTAAAAGATAGGGAAAACTAAGACACCTCCCCCATCAAACCCAAGAACAAGCACAAGGAGGACTCTTTCTAGATACTGTGGTGAGAAAGGAACGGCTATCTTCCTACTTGACCTTCTTGGTGGTAACACTGGGCTCGACCTCCAGGGTGATGGTCTTGCCTGTCAGGGTCTTCACAAAGATCTGCATCCCACCTCTGAGGCGAAGGACCAGGTGCAGGGTGGACTCCCTCTGGATGTTGTAGTCTGACAGGGTGCAGCCTTCGCCCCTGACCAGCAGAGGCTGATCTTTGCAGGCAAGCAGCTGGAAGATGGCCGCACCCTGTCAGACTACAACATCCAGAAGGAGTCCACCCTGCACCTGGTCCTTCACCTCAGAGGTGGGATGCAGATCTTTGTGAAGACCCTGACAGGCAAGACCATCACCCTGGAGGTCGAGCCCAGTGACACCATTGAGAATGTCAAGGCAAAGATCCAGGACAAGGAGGGCATCCCCTCTGACCAGCAGAGGCTGATCTTTGCAGGCAAGCAGCTGGAATACTGCTTTTCATACTGGTAAATATTTTGATAAACATTTATATGCAGTAGAAGAGGGAAGGAGGGAAAAGAACTGACTTAATAATCACCATCTGGCTTGATTTCCAAGCACCAGTTGAACACTGGATGAACAGCAGGTGAGGAACAGCAGCACAGACCCCCAAAGCATGAAGATGGCATTGCTTATGTGATTTATGATGGACCAGTGGGCTCCCCTGACCTGAGAGTTCTGAGCATGCTCTGTGAGCCAAAGAGCAAGCCGCCCTCCCTGCCCTCGAAGGGAAAGATCATAAGGGGGACGGTAGCTCTGCTCAGATTCCTGTGTGTCATACTTCATCTCCAAGTCAAATGTTTTGCTGGCGTACTTGACTTTATGGCAGCATTTGTGTATCATTTTAGTAAGATCCTGCTGGTTGTGGTGGCGCACGCCAGTAGGATTTGCTGAAGGGGGCAGAGGCAGGAGGATCATGAGTTAGAGTAAGATCCCATGACTAACGTATAGATTAAAGCAGAGTATGGAGTCATTTTATAATAAGTGTCGGGAGCCCTTGTGAGCTCCCTGTGCACAGCTCTCTAAACTGCCAAACCACTAAGTGAGGCCATCCAACTTAAAAAACCTACCAGGGGTCCCACAGCGAACATGAGAGCAAATAGATAACTGCAGATATGTTGTGCTCCTATCCCACAGAAGACACACACAAAGCTAAGAGGTGGAGCTTCAGTGACCTTACAGTGCCTTAGTCTCTTGTTAGGAGTAAGCAGAGGGACCACGTGCGTTATCTGTCAAACACTGACGAGAAGCAGCAGGTAGCTAGCTCATCAGGTGGCTCAGAGGCCATGAGAAAAGTTAAGATGTCCTTTCTGCAGCAAAGCAGATAGCTAGTAAAAGACCAACTGATTGCAAGAAAGAAAGAAAAAGAATCAAACCAGAAAAGCAATTTAGACAAGCTCCACCAAATGCTACAGTACCTTGAGCATCATGTCGTTCTGGAGGGTAACTGGCTCAGGAGTGAACAGCAGGAGCAGTTGCTGGCTGTGTGCCTTTAGTGGCCCTGTGCCTTTATATGTTGTCATTCCCTCTAGTGTAGTCCCTTTCACTTTTGCTTTAACCATGGAATTTCCACCATTTCAACACCTCCCCAATGACCTCACTTCAACTTCCTTTGTAACGCTGTATAGAGAGCTTCCTTACAGACAGAGAATTGATGAGAGGGGTGTTATAGTAGCCATAATCTGATGATTCCTCACAGATATAAGAAAAAATTAATTTATAATTAAAGGGGATGGACTGTCCTAGCTAGATGCCATAGGTGAGAAGAGTGACCACTCTCTTTACTAGGCATCCTACTCCTGAAAACGTATAAGGAAATATCAAGAATATGATAGAAGAAGAAATGTCCCCAGATCTAGAAGGGAAAGGAATAACTCACAGTGGCCTCCTCACTGACAGCCCACTGTCACCATCCAACCATCAGTCACCTTCTGGGAATGATGCAAAAATCCTTGGCTGTGTCTTATCAGACTTAGAGCCTGCTTGCTAGAAGGAAATTCATGCCTGGTACTGTGAATGAAGCCATTAATTACATCATAATTTCAGAGCAGATAACTGAGAGGTCAGTAATGTAGTCAATAAATACATCATAACCCTAGAGGTCATTAACCCTAGAGGAGAACCTACTACAACCATTTTCCTAAACCTAGTTGCATTTTAAATACTTATCCACAGACAAGTGTAGCTCTCGCCCCTCATCAAAGATGCTTCTTTTTACAGTAGATGGTAACTACCACAACTATCTACAACTGGTCAATGCAATGAGTAAGTGAGCATGGGGTGCCCAACCCTAACTGGTATACCAACAATGAGATCCCTACACCTAAGGCTCAGAGATAGTTGAGAAAGAGGTGGTTATAGTGTAAGGGCCCGAGAACCAGAGTGCCTGCTGCAAGTCAGTCCTGTCTAGACGTAACAGAGAAACCACACCCAGGAAATGTCAACAATGTATTTGCCCAAACAAGATCTACATACTAATAACAACAACGGACATGCTAGCACGGATGGGGAAATCTTCTAAGTTTCTCCCCAAATGAAGAGTTACAGGCAGCCAGTAGCTTCTAAGAGCAGGAGCATTGGTTTTCTCCAGCAATGAGCTCCTTGATGCTATCCAATGAGAAGTGGTCAATCCTAAACACATGAACATGCAAACAACATTAAATCGTCTCATTAGGATACATATGTATATGCATGCATTATATGTTATATATGTGTGCACATGTGTGCACATGTGTGTGTATGTGAATAATAACTAAAGAAGAGGCCATGAATTTGTGAGGAATGGTAGCCAGAGTTAGGAGAAGGAGGAGAGGTGGAAATACATAAAGAAAAATCTCAAAAAGTTAATTGAAAATTTTTAGATATATACCACACAGACACATGCACACACACACACACACACACACCATTCAGGTATACACATTTGAACAATCAGAGACTAGCTGGTTCAGTGTAATAGAGGAAAACTGGAAAATAAGCCTTCACAGATTGTTCTTTGGAGAAGAGACAGAGAGGAGAGAGAAAGAGAGAGAGAGAGAGAGAGAGAGAGAGAGAGAGCGAGCAATTTTTTCGTGCAACTTCTTGGACTACCCAAGATGCATTGCTCCAGAGACTTGTAGAGATTTGCAACTCAAGCCTTCAAGACCTGCCAGAGACAGGAGGTATGCTATGTTTGTTACCCCTGTCAATGATCACTCTGCAGCACTGCTCTGCCAGGGATTGCTGTTGGCTAGCAAAAGCCCCAAGAGTGTTCAAACTGTAATAGTTGCCAACAGTCTTTTGGCTGTCACCATGAAGCCTGGTGTGAGCATAGGGCTGTAACACTTATAACTTCTGGGCTAGGTACCCTGAGGCTTGTTGAGAACATGCAGCTATAACACCCACAATCTTTCTTAATTTGCACCCCAAAGACTATTGAGAGCATAGTACTGTAGCCCTGACATGGTTGGCATCCTGCTGCCACCAAGGATCTCAGAGGACCCACTTCTGTGTTTGAGTTCTTACTGTCCTCTTTGAATTGTTTCAACATGGCAAATACAGTTTCCTAATTTTCTGTTTGCTGTCTACTTACTTCATTATTGCAAGGTGTGCAAGTCAGGAACATGATACTGGAGAATTAACCATCTCAGCTGGTGAACTAGCTGGAAATTCAACGAAAATTCAATGATGAGAAGCCTCCGGAAGTCAACAGGAATCATTGCAATGAAAGGAACATTTTTGAAATGTTGAGAGAGAGACGGACTTTGTGATGCTTTTGTTGTTTGGAGCATCTATGATTTTTGTTTCACTGTACTTCTTTAGAGCAGATCACGTGCTCTGACTCTATAGGGCTGTCTATGTGTTCACTGGTGTTTTAAGTGTCTAGCTCAGGCTGAGAGGGACTGTAGGATAAAGAAAGAACTTGGTGACCAAAAAGATCAACAGCTTGCCTATGAGAAACAGTTGTGGTTGCTATTGTTTGGTCCTAGAAACCACAAACTATTGATTTGTACGACAAGAGGGTGATGAATTTATTCATTTGTCCATAATTCAGAAAGACTTCCATCTGGAGATGTTGGGGATTTTCTTCTCATTGTCCCTCATAATTGATTTAGCTCTTAATGACCCACTTTTATTGAAGAGTCTTAAATTTAAAATTTAATTACACCTTTTTTCCCTAACTCCTCCCACACATTTCTCACTCCTCAGATTTATGGCCTCTTTTTCCTTCAATTATTATTGTTACACACACACACTCACATATGCATAAATACATCAATATAACCTACAGGGTATTTCTATTGATGCTTACATGTATGTTTTTAGGGCCATCCATTTGATATTTCATGTTGGATAAACATCTAGAAGGCTCATCTCAGGGGAGACTAAGATTTCCTCTCTCAGCAGTCATTAGTAACCCACATTTGAATACTCCTTCACAGCAGATGTCGGAGCCAAGCAGAGCATCCCTCGTCCCTCTTCCGCACTGGCATTGAGTCTTGATACAGGAGGATGCATCAGACCCCTGATAGCCTGCACCAGATTGCAAAACTATGGTTGCCATACAAGGCCAGATAGATTCTTTGGCAGTGGTAACTCTCCAAAATGGAAGGCGAGTAGACCTACTAACTGCCGAGGACAGGGCTATTCTTCCTCCTAGAAGAGGGTGGAGATGCTGCATAAAAGAAGAAAGAGTCATGCTTGGTGTCCCTTACCCAAGAGTGGGTCTGACTTGTGAAGAGTTGTGCTGTTCTAATCTAGTTGTCATCTGAAACAGTCTAATGTAAAAGTCATTCTGAATGAGGATCATCTTTGCTGAACTGCACAGCAA